TTGTGGCAAACAAGACCGGCTACAAGAACGCCAAAGTCAACACCAAGGGACTCTTCTTTAACTCGTCGTACCCTGGCCCCGTCTCTGACGACGAGTATGTCTCTGCCTGGCCAATCCCAACCAACGCCTCGACCTGTGCCCATGGTAAAGGCGTCTTGAAGTCTGTGGTCAACACGTACAAGGGAAAAGCCGCTACCTTGAACTACACGAACCCATATCCCTATGACGCCCTGACTGGCAACAACGTGCCATAAGAGCCCATGCGAAATGTCCGGCATAAGAAAGCGTGCTATGTGATTGTCCGTTTACTACGAATGAATCAGAGATAGCTAGTTAATAAGCAAAATAGTCCCAATGAGATACTATATCCCTCAGCTGATTCGTCGCCTGATCGCCAACTTAAGTAATTACTCTAGAAGTTTCCTGCTTTCAATTTCAGCGTTACCTAGAGACCAAACAGCGTACTTGTTAGACCTGATTTCTCGCCCCGGGAAGCCGCGTGCTGCAATGTAACTCCTTCCAGAAACCCAGTCCGGTACCTCGTGATGACCGCGAGAAGCGAAGGAGCCACAGACGGTATCCGGCATCAACTAGCATGCTGGATGTTTGCAGCAAGTAAATAGCTCATGATTATTTGACCGAGCGGCAGGGATTGAGACCCCGGAGGAGGAACCATGGTACCCACCGTGATCGCCTAAGCACCTCCGAACCTGAATCCTGGCAGCTTGTGTCCGGTCAGTGCCGTACCTTGACCCTATGATTGGCTACGTACATACGAGGTACCCAAAGCAGCAACTCCTTCCACAGGCCAATGACAACGGCAGAGATAACAAACCGTCCTTCTGGAATCCTTCCAAGAGGACTAGTCTACTGCAGAGAATTGAACAGCCTAACAACGCCCATGGCACAACCCGCTGCTGCGCCTCCAATTATCACCATCTGCCCCGCACCCGCGAGATTGCACTTCATGCTTCTCCAACCTCGCCAACCCTCAACAAACCCAGTCTTGACGTATCCAAAAACAAACAGTGCAACAACCATCACGCTAATACTCCATATCAGCCCTTCCGTGACGTGACTCGCGAAGAAATATGGGAGTAGTGGTACGAAGCCACCAATGAAATATCCCAAAGCGATCGTAATGGCACAGACTACCGCCCGACTGGGCGCTGGTTCTGGCGTGTTGTGCTGGAAGTGCATGAGGAAGTCCACAACGGCTTCTGGACTGTTGGAGGTAATGAGTTGATGAGTAAAGTCCTTGAGGAGGGAGGGTGAGAGATGGTAGGGAGCGAATATAGATGTGATCTCCGAGGACAGATTGCCGCTCGATTCCAGGACTTTCGAGCGTGTCGAGCGGTATGTGGCATTGTATGCTGCTTCTTCACTTTTTGCACCTAAGTAGCCGCCCAAGCCCATTGAGATTGCTCCTGCAATGAGCTCAGCGAGACCACCAAAGACAACAACTTTTGTATCGCCTAGAGCAGAGAGACCGGCGGTGAGGGCGAAGGGCACCGTCAAGCCATCTGAAAGACCGATGATGGCGTCAGATACTATTCTTGCATTGATGGGGCTGCGTTCTCTCTCTGGTGTTGGTTGAGGTCCTTCACAGACAGTTTCTGCGGAGGTCTGACTGCTGGTTTCGATCGAATCGTCTGCTTTGGTGTGGCAGGATGCTTGTCCCAGCATGGCGTCTTTCTCTGTGTCAGCGGGTACTGTTGTATACGAGCGCTTCATCAGAGCTCTGAGCATAGAAGCCATCGCATTGGTATCTTCGAAGCTTTCAATTGACATCTTGTAATGAATACGCTTTATGTGGATAGATCCTTGGAGGGCAACCTTTTCTACTGTCAAGCTAGAAAACTAAGGTCCTCGGTAGCTCTAGAGATTGAGAGATGAGAAACAAACAGAGTTCGACGAGGTATGCAAAGGAGGGAGGCTGGGCGTATCCAGGCTATAGAGATCCCTCAACTCCGGAAGCCTCACCGGCTTTACCTTGCCCGGTAATGGGGTGTTGTACGAATGTAACGCAATCAAGAGTTGAAGCCGTGAGGCGGCAAGCTTGCGTTCATCTCCTACCTTCCTGATGGAGATTCACGTCAACTACCTGACATGGGATCGATGCCAAAAACTTCGCCTAGTGGGAGAACGACGGAATAACTGTCAATTGAACGCCTGTCGACGGGCAACGTGCACAGTTTCGACAGAACAAAATTCCATGGCCCAGGGCTTTTAGCGTGGCGGAAGGAAGAAACTGGAAGCAGCTCAGGAACATAACTTCCATGCAGAATGACGATCGTGTTGCCTGGCCACCTGAGCTTCATGGACAACGTGCCTTGTCAGCTGCAAAGAAGAGCAGATGATTGGCGATTGAAACAAGAGTCGGGACAAGCATGTGCCAAGCTCCCCAAGCTCTCATTCCCACCAGGGCTTTAGCACAATACTAATAGTAAGCGGGTCACCAACCTAATGCACTCTCTGCCCCGCTGGGCTTAAGGTACTCGAGGTGCCCCACGACCCCCACTTCACGAGGCTATCAGGCTTTCCGTCAGTTCTCAATGGCAGCTTTCATTTGTATTCCAACATCCGGGCCATCAATGCAGCACCTTGTCCAAGCTCGCTACCCACTTGCTACCTTTGCATGTCCTCAAACTCGGACACGTTGTTTTCCCATTCTCAGAAGGTGACATGCCGGTCATCGAGCGCTGTCCGAATGCCAAAGGAACGTGTCGACGAGGATACACAGCATTGGCTGTTTGACCTCTGCACGACACCTGGGATGGGAGGTTATAGCATCATATTGACTACCAGCGGTAAACACCGTCCGGGGGAACGCCGCTGAGGGAAAATTTGTCTCTTTAATGCATGAGATAGAAGGCATAAAAGTAAGTGCTCTGCCTCCTCCTTTGGAAAACTGCCAAGCGCAAAAACCACACAAAGTAGCCCGTTGTCCAGAATGCTGTCCCCTCTTTCTTTCCTGGGTGCTTCCGCGCTCATCTCCTCTGCTGTTGCTGTCCCAGTCAACCGACGAGCAGCAACATGGCAAAATCTAAGCTCGAAAATCACCCATGTTGTATACCTCATGATGGAGAACCACTCCTTCGACAACATAGCTGGATACTGGGACTTTAACGATATCGACAACTTGCGCAATATCACTTTCTGCAACGAGTTCACCAACCCAAACTGGACGGTCTGGAACGAGCCTTTGCTGATCTGCGCCGGCAAATACGAGGCTGAAGTGCCCCTCAAAGACCCGGACCATAACTTTGCGGGCACCAGCTACGAGATCTATCGCAAATGGCAACCAACAGCTGATGATGTCCCTGACATGTCAGGTTTCATCGAGAGACAATCCGAAAGGTACAACGCCACGCCAGGAGACTCCTCTTTTGTCATCAAGGCTTATGACCCCAAAATGGCGACCACACTCTCCACATTGGCCCAAAACTATGCTTTCTGGGACACTTACCACGCAGAGCACCCTGGACCTACCAACCCTAACAGACAGTTCGCAACCTCAGGTTCAACATGCGGCTATGTCGACAACACCAACCAATCCGCTGGCTGGTTCATGAACACCACGGGCACGAGTTGTGCAGTCTCCATCTTCGAGGCCTTGTCCAACAAGAACATTAGCTGGAAAAACTACTACGAAACCGACATCATCGATGCGTACATGTACAAGTGGGTCCAGGACAACGCCATGGACAGACTCGTTCATGCGGACCAATTTTACAAGGACCTCGCCAACAACGAGCTACCGCAATTCTCGTACATCAACCCCGAATGCTGTACCATCGACTCCATGCACCCGACCAGCAACATGGCTGCTGGAGAATTGATGATTAAGCATCTCTACGACGCTCTCCGTAACTCTTCCTACTGGGACAATCTGTACGTCTTCTCCCCTTTTTTTGGGCAGACTGTCTTGGCTAACAAATATTCAATCTGAAAGGCTCCTCATCATGTAAGTCTCCACTCAGAAGCCAATTTGAGAATTGTTTCTCTCGGTCTCTCTCCTCCTTGAAGCCAAGTCTTTCCTGACATATCGCTCTTCGACGCTAACTCCGGGGCAGCAACTTCGACGAACACGGAGGTTTCGCCGACCACGTCCCTCCTCCGGTAGGTATCCCTGCGCCTGAAGACGGCATCACCTTCTCTGGCATGTCCGACGGCCACAACGTCACCTACGATTACACACGGCTGGGCGTCCGAGTGCCCGCGTTCGCCATCTCCCCCTGGATCCCGCCTAACACGCTCATCCACGACCAGGGGACCATGTACGCCGAGAACTCGGCCTACACGCACACGTCGTTCCTGCACTTCTTGCAGGAACTGTGGGGGCTCGAGGGCCTGAACAACCGTGTCCAGTGGGCCAAGACGTTCGAGTACATCTTCGCCGACACCCCACAAGAAGGCGGCGGCCTGATGAGCCTGCCCAGCCCTGTCTGGCACGCCGGATTCGGCCAGCCGGAGCCGGATGCCTTCTATCTGCTGAACCAGGATGAGGGCTATTACGCCAGCTTGGATTGATGAGATAATGAAATTAATATAGTCAGCCCTTACGGCATGAAGATTTCAAACTTACATAGTTAACTCGGAAAATAAAATCTAGATTCAAACTTCCAGAATCTCGCTGTGTCAGAATCGGCAGAACAAAGCCTAACGGCACTCAGTGAACGCCAGCTCCTACGTAGAGCTCGCTGTATTTGAGAGAGCCGATAAAGCCAACGTACTCAGCGTTAAGGCAAGCTAGGATATAAGTGAAATGCACACTGATCCATAGTGTCACATTTCCAATGCTTCTGGTCGTCGCCGTTGTCAGGTAACGCAGCTCCTTGTTCAAACCGGCTGACGTAAACAGGGATGGTGGTATCGCGGCTTCAGCACTCCTCCCCATGCAGGGTCTAGATTTAGAACAATCTAGTTCCAAGATCTTTGTTCCCCGCAAGGGCGAAAGAAGAGACCGAAAGCACCCCCATGTCCTTACACTGTTCCAATCAAGCATTGACCCGTTGCCAAACATCCGAGCCGCCGAGCAATGCACTAACCGTCCCTGCAACGCCAACTGTGACGGGATCGAGTTGGAGCCAGCCTACCGCTGCACTTGGTATCAGCAAATCACAGCTGTCAATTGCCAGTTGCCTGTACACAGCGCGGCGTTTTGCGGATTTAGCATGCCTTGCTTTCGACTGTGGCGGCTCATTGGCCACACCCTTGTCACCAGTCTTTTCGACGATGGTTGAGGTAGCCTCCTTCTGGTTGGTTGGATGGTCGCTCTGAGACGATGCGGAGTCGGAGTAAACAAATAAGAGTTCGTATAGATCCAAGGCAACAGAAACTGACAAAGCATAGAACCAGAATTTCAACGCTTCAGTTTGCATAGTCACCGCCCAAGGTCTCCAAGTCCCGAGAACAGCATCGACCTAGTTGATTGGATTAAACACCTTCAGTCAGCCTTATATCGGAGATAACTTGCGATGCCGTGACAGAGTACGCACAATTGTAAACATCTCCAAGAAAAGATATATGCCGAGCAAGGACCACTTTGAGACAATGAGGAGAAAATGAATGTTGTTTTGAGCTACTTGTGGCTGAGATTGTTTCGGTGGTCTCTGCTTCGCCGTCTTACTTGTTGGAAAGGACTGGTACTGGTTGTGCGCCAGATTCCAGCAGTCGATCCATTTGAGGAGGCGAAGATACCGACGTGCTGGACATCCGAGGTCGTCAGTCACAGATCTTGGGAGCACAATTTCAAGTTACCGCTGGTCAGAGAAGGTATGCATGGTGTCGTCAACCATAGTGGAAGGTGCTTACCGAGCGCAAATTGATTCTTAGCGGTTAGCCACTGGGCAGCCTCGTCGGGTGACAGGTAACCGATAGTTGCGGCGATTTGCGAAGTCGATTGTAAGAATTTAAGGCTCTTCTCAACCCCAACTGTTGTGTTCCAAAGAGTTGCATATTAGTACCAATGTCTCGTTGTACCGCTAACGCCATCGAAAGCAAACGGAATTGGCTTGCTCTGACGCCTTTCGACACTCGTTCGAGCAGGAGAGCCAGGGGAATTGATCGCTTACGGGCATCATTCGAGAATCTCGTTACGAACTGCAACATCTTCAAAGGACGATCAGGCCGGGAGAAGCTGACAGACTGGGGGAAGTGATAAAATGAGAGCGCAAATATTGCAGGTTCATCCGAACTTGAAAAGAAACCTGCAATGTCTGCGCTCCATTAAAGGGGAGAAGTGGCAAATTCGGCGAACCCCGCTCACGGGTTGGCTCCTTCGGCCTCGAGCACGCTATCACCACATACCGTGATATCGATCCATCCAGATAGCTGCGCATGGCTTTGAATCGGATACGGGAGTAGCCATACATCAGTAAAAGGTGCCATGGTCTTCTGGAGCAGAGACATTTACCGAGTCTAGTGACATCGAGGAGAAGACGGACAAATAGAGGCTGGAAAAGTAAAAGCGGCGAGGAGAGAACCTATTTTGGAACTAGTATGTTGTTTCCGCGCTCCACAGTTTATCCGACAATTCGAACAGAACTTCATTGCGTCTTCCGCAGGGCCAGTGCACTTTTGCGAAAGCTGTAACAAACAGGGCCGATCCAGCATGTCGGTAATTTCGCGCCTTCTAGTCCTTGTTGGACTTCTGTCCCTGTTCCATGCGTATGCGCGCCGCAGAACCCGCTTGTCAAGATTTCGAGGACTGACGAACATGATGCAGTGCCTATTCCGCCCACGAATTCTCGACTCTCTCCACGAAACTCCATAAGAACGCCGCTCTCCCGCTCGACATCAAGCTCGAGACCCTGATTTCAGTATTCCTTGCATGTTTCGGTCTTATACTGGGCTCCGAGCCGTTGAAACCCGTCAGCTGGAACGCATGGGCGGGGCAGATTGAGCGAGAAGGTGGAGGAGCGAATCCCTTTCGGGGGTTGGAGGAGAGGGTGGGCTTTATGGATATCAGGGCTCAGAGGAGAGCTTTTGCGGAGTGGGCGAAACAACAAGGCGCTGTGTCCAAAAGTTGAAATGGTCATGCGTGCAACGTCAATTTAAATCTTCCGCTTTGGGAGAGGGAAACCCAGGCGTACCGGGGGGATTATCAAACGAGCGGAGACAGAATTACACCGGTTCACGATTCTATACTTTTCAGTTATTGCAGGCACCGAAATGATGGCCGCTTCAATTAGAGCTATCTACTGCGACTTTCCTCGACCAGTGCAGTGCTCACCCATTTGCTGGATCCTTTGAATAGGCGGCGAACCACCAGAAAGCGGCTTCGGCAAGCAAGCGTCCATTCGTTCTGCTATTCGTTAAGGAGGCTAGACGAAGGAGCAAACAGCCGCGAGTCTCATTTCCACCAGGGTGCCAAGCGGCGGAGATGATGAGACCCCGAGGGAAGGAGTCGTGGAACGTGAAGTGGGTCTATATACGGAGTACTTCAAAGATGTCGGGTAACGATCGATGGATGTTTGAATTGGTCAAGTATTGGACATCCTGCACAAATGCAATTGAGAAAGTGACAGGAGATCTATGTCGATCCAGAAAGAGGACGCGCAAATCGCGACACCATCTGAGAAGTGAAAATCGAGAATGATGTCTAAATTTGATTCATTCGTTTAATTCGTTCAATTGGAAAAGCCTCCTTAATGGGGCGACAATCTGCTCTATCTAGGCCATTCGCAAGAGACATTGTTCATATGGCGTGTCATACGCCGGGGCACTTTTCTGTCGTGATACATTGATTGATACGATCCATTTCCGCATCATTGGAAGTCCTGTTTTCCATCATATCCTCATTACAGTCATAACTTTCAGGGCTGAAATCAACTCCCATGTTAGCCGTTTTCAATATCCACCATTCGCATCCGCTATGCATCCAAACCCCGAGGTTAGAAAATTCATCCTAGATGACGAGGATTCCTCTTTTCCCCCTCAGGAGGACAATAATTTATAGGTTCATTTGCCGAGGAGTTCACAGCAAGGAGAAGCCAAGAGCAGCCACAAGAAGACCGAGACAGGCACCGGCAACTCTGTTCGTGACTGCTGCGCCAGTGACTTGGGCGAATGTGGCCATGGAGGTCCCTGATGAGGTGGTGGAAACGCCATTGTACGGGCTCTCACCGACCGTGCTGGTCACGAGAGTCGTGGGACCGGACGAAATACTCTGGGCCGATGTGGTGCTGGATCCGTTGCCGTAGTAGTATCCCGAGTAGCTGGGTAGAGTTGGCGAAACGGGCTGGCTGGTGATGACGGCGGGCTGCGTGGGCTGAGACGTCACGACCGAAGGCATGCCAGTGATGACTCCCAGGGAATTGGTCATGGAAGTGTAGATCGTGAAGGGATTCTCGTAGGACGATGTCGGCCACGATGAGACCTCTTCGGTTATGCTAGAGGACCACGAGGTCGAAGACTCGGTAGGCAAACTTGTTGAGGCGACTGGGCCTTGGGGCTGACCGTCTGATATCTGGGAAACGGCTGACATGGTGACGTCTGCGCGGGTCGTTTGAAGGAGGAAAGCGATGGCAAGGGAGAGTGAGGAAAGCGTTGTCTGCGAAGTGTACATTTTGTTGATGTGGTAGACGAAAATCTGGCCTGTCTGCTCTGTCGACTGGGAGCCGATGCGGTTTGGGTTCGCTCAAATCCTCTTCTCAGAAATGCGTACAGGTACGTTATCAGTGCAAGGGAGTCCGTTTATCACAGGGTGAACAATTGATGTTGCTGGAGGGCGAAAGACTCAGACAGGAGGATCGAGGTTGATTGAAGTGAAGGAGATCTGGCCAGATGTTTGCGACGGCTTTTCTTTCTCAGAGCCTATATATGTTACCCCTTCGCCGCAACCGCCGTATGTGCATATCAGCCAACCCCCCTTCTGGCCTTCTATTTGTTCTGTGGCGGAAGGCTAGAAATGGAAAAAAAATGTTGGCGGGCCACGACTATTCTTGTTTGCAGATGGAAGACGCCAATGACGCGCAGTTAAACGCGAATCAGGTGGGTCTATACTAGCCTAAAGTGGTAGGGCGCGAGGCTGGTTGCAGTCTTATTGGAGGCTGGAGCCCGTTGGGTGGGTGATGGCTGGGGTGTGTGCGCTGGGTTTCAGGTGTCCGCCCTTGCCCGCGCTATCCCTTACTATAGCTTTTCAGGGATGGAAGAAGGGGGCGAGGGGGGTTACAGAGTGGAATACGGAGTACTGAGTACCTCGTACTGCGAACGAAAAGCAGCATTCTGCCTACCCAGCACGGAGCAGGACAAAGCTCGATGGGCTCTCAAGGTTTAGTGGTTCACGATCCCCATGAACCTGCCGCACCAGCCAATTTAGCATTCTCTAAACAATCTAGTCCATCTTGGGTGCAGATTACTCTGTAACCTAGGATCGAGTACTCCAGACAGGTTATGAATGGTTCATTTCCTCTTGACTGGAATTACCGGGCCACGTACCTGGCAAGTCGGTGGCAACATGGTGTCCCACTCCAAGGTGGCATACCAACGACATGACACGAGCCTCCCGTTTACCAGTGCTCACGGAATTCGCTTGAACGCTCTGACCAATACAAAGAAGATCTAGAACAACCTGAACATCTTCCAACCCGCAAACTCAAAGTCTCCGGATGCCTATCCGCGGCAGCCTTTTCTTCGCTGCACTCGTGTTCGAGATTTTTCGTGCGGCGGTCGATATCGACGTCGGCAATTGGCAGGGCAGACTTGGCTTATTTTGTGCCATCATGGTTTGCTCTTCATGTTCGTTTTTATGTGTCTCCAGTTCACCAGAGACGGCTGGAAAAACTGATTTACTCTGGTCAGGCGCAGAGGCCCGCGTTGTTTTAGGTGACTTTCTCTTCGGTTCAATTGCTTCGGACGAAGTTTGCACGTCACTTTCTTCGGGCAAGGCTATTTCCGAGAGCGCGCGCTTGTCTTTCATCCTGTTTGGTGCACAGTTAAACGCTGTGTTTGATTCACTCGGCTCGTTCTCTTTCGTGTCGTCCTCTAGAGACTTTCCTCGAGAAGATGAAGGTTTCTCTGTTGACCCATGCTCAGGCTCCTCCCCACGGCGCTTCGCTTCCTGGACAGCATCAGATAGATGCTTCGGAATGGGCGCATGAATTCTCGTCATCAACTGTGCTTGTGTAGAAAAGCTGTCGTAGCTTTCTTGTATGAGAGCCCCTGCAGCAGCATTTAATGCAGAGTCAGGATTGGGTTGAATCAACAAGCATGATATGGTGACCAGGATGTCTTTCAGAGTTAACTTGGGATCCCAATCTCTTTTCAATGTCTCAAGACACACCGCTCCAGTCGTAGGATCCACATTTGGATGGTAAATTCGGGTCTGGAAGGCGGCTTTTGGAGGACTTTTGGGATAGTCCGGGGGCATTTTCAGATGGAGACGCCATAATCCTTCGGAATAGGGCGTGCCCTCAGCGCCGGTGATACAGACGACGAGTTGGGTGAGATCGTCTTGGAGCGATGAGCCATGGTCGCTGTCTGGGAACAGGTAGTTTGGAGGTAGGGCAGATCGCAGTGCTGCATGATCTTTGGCGAGACGACGGAGAGAAGCCTTTCATGTTGTTAGACCTGCGCGACACGAAAATCGCTGAGGGGAGTGGATCCGGGATTGCACATTGGTAACGGGGCTCATTTTTGGCTGTGCTGCGACAGGCATGATTGTACATACCATAGGATTCTGTACTTTGAGAGGGCGTCTGTGAATACGCCTATGTCTCTTTTCTGGATATGGCTATGTTTGTGTCTGATCGACGCAGCCCCACTCGGGGATACCGCGTCAACGCGTTTCACTTTCTCGGCCGGAACAATATTTCTCCATTTACCTGTTTGATGTCACAGCCCGTTGCTTGCATTCGCGATTCAGCGACTCGGAGACGACCTGGGCTACTTTTCTGCAATTTACAGCGACGTTCAGTATTCCCTTATTCCTCATCCTCTTCTTCATTTCCATGGTACTCGTTGACCTCTCCTGTGAGTTTGGGACTCAACGGTCCCTCTCTTGTCCAAATATTCAAGCCGACCTTCTCCCCAGTAGTCACCACGTTGCCCGAGTGGATGACCCTTTGGTCCCCTCGGCCACCAACCAGATTCATCCAAAACACCGCGTTCCCAGGAATGGGAAGAAACTTCACACCTTCGTCAAATGGGGTGTCGCAATCGATATATTCACACCAGCGTTCGTCCTTCGGTGCATCCAGCAGCGGGAATGTAGTGCCGCCGCCGGAGATGTCTGCACTTGCTTTCACGTATGCAAAGAACGATGTCAGACGGTTCCCGCCGTGCGAGCGGGTCGTCTGCGCCGCAGACGTGAACCAGTCCGTGTGAAGATCGTAAGTCTCGTTGGCATGGTATCGCACTAATTGCAAAGGCTCAAGGTGTGAGTGCGGGGTGTCAAATCCCTGAAAGCGCAGAGCGCGCTCTTCAATGCAGCGTGTCACAGCATCGCGGGAAGCAGTGGCAGACTTAGAACGTCGCGTGCTACGAAGGGTTTGAGTACCGTCCTGGTCGGCTGTTTGGGAGTCAATGAAAGCTGAAGAGCTGTGAATGAAGGTAAGCCTGAGATTAGGAAACTTAGGGGGGGGATTGCGCACACGACCTACCTTGTTTGAAGGAGGTGTTCGCGCTCGGAAGTGGTGAGGAAGTTGGCTATGTAAACCACGAGCGGATCGCAAGAGAGGAGGTGGATGGTGTAGGGAGGGTGTGTGCATTCTGGAGAGAAGTTTGCCTGGTTGTTGAATGCGGCAACATGGGCGGCGGTTGACATCAGGCTGGCGATACGATAATAGCTCTCGAAGATCTTCATCTTGGAGGTCAACATCAGCGCGGACAGATTCCAACCTTCACAAATGGTCGACAAACTTCTAGAGTCCGCAGTTTACGATGATGAGGCTGTGAATCCCCGTATACAATCAGCTCTCTTGAAGATGGAACAGCTGCGCTACCTTCCTTTACTTCTGCCCCTTGAAGCGACTCCTCCCCCTCGTGCGTTTCACCACTGCAGCTTTACAAGGCATCTCTCAGCGGACACCATGAAGAGTATCAGACTCATTCCTCACATCTCTTCAATGTCCTTAGCTCCCTATTTCTGTGGAAATGTTGGTCTCTGCTCGAATCATCCTTGGTAGTTTGGCTGCCGTAGTCCATGCACAATGGCACCATGCCTCCAGCGCCGAGTTCCATTCACTTCTCGACTCTACCCGTCTCACGCTCGCAGCGGTCGTCGTGGTATCTAGTCTCCCTGCTTAGGGCTCGTGAATCCTTTTTCCTGACGTGGAATTCAGCCTTGGACAGCTCCCTGCAAATCCCTTGCCTCAGAATGGGCGACCGCGAAGTCCCAACTCACTTATCCGCTCGTGAGCATAGACTGTACTGCGGAACCATCCCTGTGCGTTGCGCACGAAGTGCATTCCTATCCTGCTATACGCCTCTTCCGTGGTCCCGATGAATCGACCCGATACAGGGGCCCGCGCAAAGCATCTGCCATCGTTTCCTTCGTTATGCGCGCCTCGCTTCCAGCAGTCTCGGAGGTAAATGTCAAAAATATTACGGACTTGGTTGGGATAGATCGTGTGACGTTCGTGGCACATCTGAAGAAAGACGACGGTTCTATGAGGTCAAAGTTCACAAAGGTTGCAGAGACATTCCATGACCAGTTCGTCTTTGGGATTGCGGACGACAAGAGACTGGCAGCGAAAGAGAAGATAGAGCTTCCCTCTATCATTGCTTATCAGACGGATGTTGGCGATCAAGAGGTTCTGCATGGCGTCGTAAAACCCTCCGTCATTGAGAGCTTCGTCCGTGATGCAGGCAAGCCCCTCATAGATGAGCTGACTCGACGAAACGAACTCAATTACATGAGCGTAATTTCCATCAAACATTTTTCTGATGCGAGATGGATGCTGACCCCTCACGTCAATAGTCCAATAAACTCATCGCGTATATAGTCGTCAGCGACGAAGCCGACCGCGCCTCACTCCGTCGAAAGCTTCACCCTGTCGCAAAGCAGTACAAGGGCTACGTCAACTTTGTCACCATCAACGCCATTGAATATGGCCACATGGCCGCAAGCCTTGGGCTGCATAGGGGCCACTGCCCCATGTTTACCTTGTACAGTGCCTGGAAGGATCAGGTGTTTCCATATCCGACGGTCGAACAAATCGAGGCGGACAACATAGAAGAATTTCTGTTGGAGATCTTGCATGGGAAGAGGGCGCCATGGAACCCGGCCGGTGCGGGACATGGACAGCATGACGAGTTGTAGAAGACAACGATACCAAATCGCCCAGCACTTCGCGGAAGTGGAAGCGACTGATACGGACTAGGATATAGGGACACGTGTCGGGGCAAGAACGGCAAGGCCCTCCGTACCGAGTAACAAGAGGAATATGGTCTCGACATCTCATAAACAGATTGTCCAAAATATCACTTTGCCTGGCCTCCTGTATGTCGTATGTCGGAGCCGTCGAGGGGGTGGCTGCGTTCGTGTCATCAGCCACTCACCACAGGAGCGGCTGCTCGATCTCATACCCGTCTAGAGACAGCTGGGCGCGAGCCGCTACGAGGATCTCAAACATTGCTGTCCAGGCATGATGGGGAATTTCAGCAAGCTGGTCATTCTTGAGAGATGTGCTCGGTTCCTCCTCTTTGACCAATCGCAAGGACCGCGTTCCTGCAGCCTCGCACCCGGCTTGATTGATTGTTTGCTCGTGCTTTTGTGCGTGTTCGGTAAGGAAGTGGCAATGCGTCGAGGCTACTCCAGACATGGTACTGGGTGCATGTGTGATTCCATCATTGTGTAAGACTGAGGTTGAGCTGCGGTTGCACAGCCGCCCCGCATGGCCAATGCAGTCTATCGTTACGAGCCAGCCAATCAAATGGCCCGGACTACACAGGCGCAGGTCGGCCTCCCCGCTCCGTGGACACAGGCGGAACAGACGACTCTCCCCGCCAGCAAAGCTCCTTCTGGTCCTTTTGTCTTTTCTCTTCCCAACCTCAACCGCACAAACCACACCAAACCACACCAGCTCCTGCCCCAGCTCCTGCAAAAAGTCATTCGTACCCTTTTGACGCCCATTCCGACCAATTTGGCCTCGGCCCATATTTTGATTTGTTTTTTTTTGGGCCTCTGGGCCCATCTCCGGGGCGCCCACGAGTGCCCCCTACAGACCTGCTACCCACTGTTCACTGACAAGTGTCGGCGACACCGCCTAAAGCATTGCCATTGCAGGCTTGTCGGGCTTGCTCGTCCTTGCCTGTGCGACTGCCCATCAAGCGTCTGCTGGCTTTCATTGCCTGGGTGATTCCGGCCCCCCGAGGCTCTTTGCTACAGCTGAAGGCTTCCAGTGCTCCTGGAGCTGCCTGGCAGGCTATCTCGTCGACAAAGGACCTTCAAAAGTTCGGCCTCGACATTGACAGCATTTCACGAACCCTTCATTGGTATATACGTACAATAATTTCCGCAAGCTTGCTCCGTCGTAACAGTTCCTGCTTCATCATCCCTTCCCACCCCTCCAGTGCTGGGGGTACCTGCATATCACGCTCACTCAGAGCCCCTCGCCGAACCGCTGCAGAACCGACCACTACTGTACCAATCTCGGCCGCCGCAAATCTTCTTTTGCGAGCTTGCACATCTCCGCCGCCCACTGTTGGCCACCTGACTGCAAAGTCCGCCACTGGTACCCCTCGTACTTTTGACGCAACTCTGCTTGCCACCTTGTTCCTACTCCGGCGCCCGCCCGCCATGTGGCCAGAACCTCAAGCTCGCCCCTTGGCTATCCATCTCCCCTCCCACTCGCTTGTCCCACAGTACGTGTCTGTGCCTGAGCCACATCCTGATACAGACCTAGTGCTCGCCCTCGCTGGCTCCATGCCTGGCGGGATGGGTGAAAGACATGGGTTATCCAATGGCACCTCGCATGTCTTGGCGTCGCGCAGGAAAAGGGCTAGCAAACCAAAAGTACGAACGGGATGCAAAACGTGCAAGGTGAGTTTCCTCCGCCCGCCCGTCTCCACCCAATCGACCTCTCTTTACATTCCCCCAAAATGCCGGCTACATTGGTGGGTAGCTGAACGATCAAAAACCTCCCGGTGTCGACCCATGTCTGACTAAACCTGTCTCCTGCCACGCCCTCCTACTGGTCTCATCGCATGCAACTGACATTAAGAACAGATCCGCCGCATCAAATGTGACGAGACAAAGCCCAGCTGTAAGTGTGCTTCCCCGTCGCCTGGCCCGTGCCAGACCTCTCGCTCTTGTCCTGATTAGTGCTCACTTGACCTCGCAGGTAAGCGATGTACCTCCACAGGACGTAAATGCGATGGGTACGAGTTCCCCAAGGAGAGCTCCAGCAGCTCACCATCAACCGCATTGTCGCCACCGCAGCAATCCACGGTGCCTTACCAACATCTATTTCAACCCAACTCAATCTCAAAACCGTTTCAAGGCAACACACAAGAACGCCGTATCTTCCATCGATTCCAGTATTGCACGGTGCCCGCTTTCACTGGGGGCTCCGAAACCGGTTTCTGGACAAAACTCGTACTCAAAGTGGGTCACGAAGAACCGGTGGTCCGGAACGCAATCATTGCCTTGGGGACGTTGCATGAAGATTACCAGGACCGTTGTGGCAAATACAGCCCCCGGTTGATTGACGACGAAGGCTACCGATACGCCCTGAAGCTATATGGGGGGGCGCTGCGCGAACTGAACCAGAGACTCAACACACCCTCGAGCACCAACGCCAAGCTCGCCATCATTTCAAGTATATTATTCGCCTGCTTCGAAGTTCTTCGACGCAATAACATGGCCGCCGTCATCCACTACCAGCAAGGAATGAGAGAATTGATCAGACAAATGAATCTGCCTCAGGGTGACGACATATCACTCGCACCCTATTCACCAGAACAACAGTCCGGCTCGCGACCAACCTTCCGCGAGATGCCTCAAGATGAGCTGGATGAACTGCTCCGAGTCTTTGCCCGATACGACATTCAAGCATGCACATTTTCCAAAGAGCGAGCGGAACCTTTGTTAACCCATGTTGGCCAAGTGCCTCGGATACTGCCGACCAACCTTAGCTTGAGTCAAGTTCGCAATCATCTCGACAACCTCCTTGTTTCTGTATACCAACTTGTCAAGTCCGAGGCTCGTATGTACCGATATTGGAGGAGAGATGCCGTGCCTGTAGAGTGGCAGACTCGACGCCAAGAGGCAATCGACATCTTTGATGCTTGGGTGGCAGCTCTGGAGAACTTTTTCTCGGCGCAGGCTCCGAGACTAAGTCGTACCGACATCAAAAGCCTGCTGGGTCTCCGCCTCCAGATCAGGACTGCAGTCATGATGCTCAAAGTGTGCATAGATTGTGGACCAGAGAGCACCTTTGACGCCTTCAAAGATGACTTTGAAGACATGGTGTCCAAAGTCGAAGATGTGACCAGAGCTCTGAGCTTGGCCGAAGCAACGCCCTTGGAGGACGAGCTCACACCTTTCACCATGGAGCTTGGCATTATACACCCTCTCTTCTTCACGGCTTGCAAATGTCGAGACTGGGGTATCAGACGCCGGGCCGTGGCCCAACTCAGGAGAGCCGGCAGAGAAGGTGTCTGGGAGGGACCTATAATGGCCGTCTTGGCCCGGAGAATCATGGCTTTGGAGGAAGAAGGTCTATCTCAAGGAGACTTGGTGCCCGAGGCGAATCGATTCCACGACATCAGGAAGAACGTTGATTATGACAGTCGGCAAATCTTATTCGAAGCGACCAGAGCTTTGGACACTGCCTGGGAGAAATTTTCGGTTCACAGGGAGGCGGTTCCGTTTTGACGTGTTCCATTTACGACCAGCAAGGTGTTTCGGGAGAAATTGTCCCATCGACCAGGAGGAATTTAAAAGCATCATCCAAGACTGCGACTATCCAGGTAACAATCACGACGTAATGACCAAAGATAACGACCAGGACGCGGGGCCTTTTTCTCGTGGCACGACAAGGAAAATCTCTGCAATTTGGTGTCTGCGAATTACGCGATTTGGCCAGGGTGTGGAAAATCGCTCCAGAAATGTACTGTAATGAGGATAATGTTGGTGTGTGTGGTAAGAACGTTGGATGTTTGTGGGCATAGGTGGGGAGCGGCCTTTGGGACGGGCTAGGGTACTCTTGGTACCTAGGTACATAGGTACATAGGATATAAATGGACTGTATAAGATATACATATACCCCGTTCTCTTCAGAGGGAACATGCCATTGATCCTTTTTTTTTTCCTGGTGCTGTATCGGAGAATTTGTGTGCGTCGGCCCTCGGGAGGCTTGCATCCAGGCTGCGACCCTGATCCCTGGCGCTTGGAGCGATTCCAGTTTTGACCGCGGACGGCGCCGCCGCTTGGCGGGCACTGGGCCAATTAGGGACTGCCAACAGAGCTATTAGAGGTATTAGAGGCACTTGGGCGGGTGCTCAGCGGGCCCTTAGGCAACATTAGGCAGCTCAAGTTTGCCCGCGATTCCCACTGTAGCGTGTCGCGTCACTGTCACTAATGAGCAGCGTTTCTCAATTCCCCGGCTGATTTCCCAATCTCGATTCTCATCATGCTCTCTAATTTTGACACCTCGACACTCAACCCGACTTGTTCATTTTCACCATCCTGTCCTGTTTTCCATGGCGTTGTGCGTGATTTCCAGTCCCTGCTGTTCTGCCATTGTCCACCTGAAGACCCTGGGACTTGATTGCTCTTCCTCCGCCCTGCCACGACAAACCTCAACCTGCCACGACCTCCGTTCATGAACCTCGACAAGCTCAGCCATTTCGAGACTTCTCCTTCTGGCAGTCACCGCATAGGCCTCTACCCTTTCCGAGACTCTGAGTCGTCACTGCATCCACTGAAAGCTCATAGTCTTTCGTCCACTCCTTCAGAACACGACTGGGTCTCTCCTTTTACCCTCCCCCCGTTACCGACCCTACGGCGCGACCGCGATCCGTTAGAGTACCGCCAATCGCCAGACAATCTTCGGCATCGAGACGGGAGTGGTGCCTACTACGCCGCTGCTTGGGGTTCACCGTATGCTACTCCAAGTCCTCGAAGAACGCCTCAGCCTTTCGACTCCGCAAATCAGCGCCTGAATATTGAGGCAGTAGCCCCTTTCGCGTGCTCAATTGGCCGATCCACCATTACCTCCGCCCCCGGTGACGACATCGACAGCCTCGAGTCGCACATTCGAAACCGTCTGTACAGGAAAACTCGTCTAGGTTCGAGAAAAGAGCTACGAAATCCTC